GGATGATAACACACATTAAACAACTTGGTTCATTTAGCTCTATGGTGTCCACCTTCTACAATGTGGTTCATTTGGATCCACGGTGTAGCCACTGGCCACATGTGGCTATTTGGCTGTTTGAGTGTGGCTAGTTTACTATGACAGTAGCCACTGTAGTAGCTACTGCTTCAGACCTGATCAACATGCACAGAACCAATATTATTTAGTATCCAACTATACAAATAGGTGACACATAAAAAGGCAACTTGGTGTGGGACAAGCACTCCCCAATTGCCAGTCTACATGGAGAGTCTTTGTCATGACCATGAGGGTTAGCCAACAGCCTGGGGACTAAGGGGTTAACTGTACCTAGCCAGGTAGCAGTCAGCCAATAGAAATGCAGTTAGGGATTTCAAATTGAGACAAAGGAATTTCTGGGTTTTCCTTCCTTTGTCTCTGGGCCGGTTTGCTCTCTATGTCCCGTTCCAAGAAAATACTCTTTACCATCTGTAAATAGGGCAAAGCCTAGATACATCCATTAGATTTTATTGTTTTATGGTTTGGGAATGGGAATTTGATGTCTGTGCATTTAGAAATGGGGTTTCCTCTCTTTTGTAACTTGTTTTATTCCCATGGGAAAATTCCCCATGAGTTTATTAATTGGTGGCTCTTACCATCTAGCCAATCCAACTATACTTGTATCAGGAGTATTGTTTTGATATTGAAAGTTCTTTCTCTTTTATTAACCTGGTATTGATTCAGTTCTGTGTCTTGGGAAATTTGTCTGTGGGATCTGCATGTCTCTGACTAGGGGACAGGAGCCATAGACTGCAGTTTGTATTTTCTCTTTTCTTTTTCAAGCTCTTTGGAGAAAAGAGCGTGGGGTGCCCTGGGATTGGTTTCAAGTGTCCACCCCTGTTTATGGGTTCAAAAGCACTTGATGGTGGCACTGGATTTTTTATCCCCAAAATCTAGGCTTTTAGGATTTTGTGGGGGAAGTTTTATACCAAAGCCCAGAGAGAAAAGGTTTTGGGGTACTTTTGCGAGCCCAAGTGCCAGAGTGGGGAAACAGCCTTGACAGTCTTATTCCAATTTATATGGAGTCTTATCCAGAACCTTATTTTACTTGGTTTAAGAGTTTCATAGCTTTTCATGACCATCTCTTTGTCCCCTTTCTGAGCTCAATTGCTTTTTTGGTGGCACAAAGCATAACAGACACAGTGCATTGTAATCTGATAACACAGGGTACGTCTAAACTACATGGCTCTGTCGACGGAGCCATGTAGATTTGTTTGTTCGGCAAAGGGAAATGAAGCCGCGATTTAAATAATCGCGGCTTAATTTAAATTTAAATGGCTGCTGTGCTGAGCTGACAAACAGCTGATCAGCTGTTTGTCAGCTCAGCACAGCAGCCATTTAAATTTAAATTAAGCCGCGATTATTTAAATCGCGGCTTCATTTCCCTTTCCTGATCAGCCTAATCTACATGGCTCCATGGATGGAGCCATGTAGTTTAGACACACACACAGTGTATAAAATCTGAAATCAATCTGGCTTTATTGTCAGTGATGCTGGAATGAGTGTGCTAGGGTTGCTGGCTTGAAGTAGTAATACCACCACCAAATACATTATTTCCATCATCAGCACCCCCAGTATAGGAATTGTTCCAGCACTCCTGTCCATTGTCACTCCTTATCATTGAACTTTCTATGAAACAATGAAAAAACTCCCCAGCTGTCCTCTCTTCTCTTCCCCTCTGTGACAGGGCGCCTGCCCTGCACTGGCCCTTTAAGACCAGGACTCAGGCCCTGAGCCCGGGCTGGGAAGAGAGAGGCCAGCTGAAGCTGTTAGGGCGAGTGAGAGCCCAGCTGACAACTATATATATAGAGAAGCACAGTGCTTAAGAGGGAGGCCCAGTGAGGGGCTGACTGCGGAGGAAGCAGGAGCTCCCAGGAGGGAGACCCGCTGGGGATAGCCAGCAAGGGCTGGGAGAAGGCCAGCTAAGACTCCCCTGGCTAGGGGCCGGAGGCAAGGCCCAGGGTTTGGAGGTGGATCACAGCGCGGCTTAGGTAAGCGGGGCTGTGGAGATAATCCCATTGCCAATGATGACTGTAACTTGCCCTGAGAGGGGCTTGATGAGGACAGTCAGGGGGCACTGAGGCACAGTGGGGGACCTGCACCCTGACACCCTCCCCTTCCTTGATACTCATCTCTGTTTGCCCTCAAGTTAATCTTTTAAAATAAATGTATTTCTATCTCCTTTCATCCCTCCTCTTTTTCATTACTGCACTATGTTCCCTTCAATTTTCTCATACTTCTCTGGGGGCCTTCCCTCGCTACCCACTCTATGCTTCCTCGACATCATGAAGTAGCCAGCTCATCTTTGTAGTATATTCCCCACAATCATGTTTTGGGGGATATCTTCCCTACTCAGTGGATTGCTGGGCACCAATTGATCCAGCAGGGGTAAATTTATTGTGTCTAACACAGATGTGATAAGTTGACTGCCAGGCACTCTCCTGTCCACTCTGGTAACCCACCAAAAAGAGTAGGCGGTGTCAATGGGAGAGTGTCAGCTTACCACTGCGAAGATACCATGGTAAGCAAACCTAAGTACAGGCAGTCCCCGGGTTACATGGATCCGACTTACATCGGATCCCTACTTACAAACGGTGTGAGGTAACCCCGCACTAGCTGCTTCCCCCCAGCAGACCAGGGAGACGTGAAGCTAGTGCCCCCCCCTCCCCCTCCCGCAGACCAGGGAGACACGGAGCGGCTTTTCTCAGCAGACACCTCAGCTTGAGAATAAAGGACTGAGGGAAGAGAGGAGTGGGAGAATAAAACTGAGCTCTGGAGAAATGTTTGGCTACAGTTTCCCCTACAATATGTACCAGTTTTGACTTACATACAAATTCAATTTAAGAACAAACCTACAGTCCCTATCTTGTACGTAACCCGGGGACTGCCTGTATGTTGACTTTAGCTTACATTATTCATGTAGCTGAAGTACCATAACTTAGATTGATGGCCCATTGTATTGATGGCCCATGGTATTATAGACAAGTTCTCAATTTCTGCAGGATGGCAAACTAAGGTCAGCCACTTAAATATGGACTTCCAAAGTAGAGAGCTTCTGAAATTGGACAAAATAATCCCAACTATACATACAATACTAATTTAGTTATAAATACTCAAGAGAGAGTTCTTGGAGACATCCACTCAGTGTGCAGCAGCAGTCAAAAAAAACAAAGAGAATGTTAGGAATCATTAAAAAAGGGATAAGAATAAAACAGAGAACATCTTATTTCCTCTATATAAAACCATGGTACACACACATCTTAAAAACTTCTGTACAGATATATATTTCAAAAAAGATATATTGGCATTGGAAAAGGTTCAGAAAAGGGCAACAAAATGATTAGGGGTTTTGAACAGGTCCCATATGAAGAGAGAGTAAAAAGATTGGGACTTTTCAATTTAGAAAAGAGACTGGAGGAGATATGATAGAGGTCTATAAAATCATGACTGGTGTCGAAAAATTGAATAAGGGAAAGTTATTTGTTTATTCTCCCAATATAAGAACTAGGGTTTACCTGCTAATAGGTAGCAGGTTTAAAATAAACAAAAGGAAGTTTTTCTTTACACAGTGCACCGTCGGCTTGTGGAACTCCTTGCCAGAGGAGGTTGTGAAGACCAGGATTTTAACAGGGTTCAAAAAAGAGCTAGATACATTCATGGAGGTTAGGTCTATCAATGGCTATTAGCCAGGATGGGTAGGAATGGTGTCCCTAACCTCTGTCAGATGCTGGGAATGGCTGACAGGAGAGGGATCACATGATCATTCCCTGTTCTGTCCATTCCCTCTGGGGCACCTGGCATTGGCCATTGTCAGAATACTGGGATAGGATAGTGGGCTAGATGGAACTTCGGTCTGACCTGGTATGGCCGTTCTTATGTTCTTAAATACAGAACACTAAACAGGCACACACTCTGCAGAAGTTCAAGGTTAGCCCAACTGCCATTAGAAGAAAACACAGGTCAATAAATGTGAGAAGCATAGCATTAGTGCACTAGCACCCAGGAGTGAAGCTCATTGTTCACCCAGGAAGAAGTAAAATATGTTTGGAAAGTCCCTCGTATTATGGGCACTCTCAGAAAACAAATATTAAATAAAGTACCAGGGGTACTGGACACAATTGGTTAAGCTTTCAACTGGATTCTTCACACAACTTACTTGTATGACGAATAACAAGATTGCCACCCCAGTCATGAATAAAATTCAGTTGTCAGCTGTTGTGTCTTTCCCCAGTTTTATTTTCTTTTATGCTTTACTTAAGTACAAGGACCTCAGCAATCCATGTTAATTGCAGAAGCAAGTTGCAAAGTAGCATGCGAGCTACCCTGCCAAAAATGGATGGAGTCCTACTAATGCACTGCAGTATAAGATATTTTGGAAAGGAAATTTAAGTAAGTGCTGCATTTAGATCATATGTTTCCATCTTTGTGAGAAGCAGAAGCAAGAGTGAAAAATGTGTCTTTCAAGGGGTTTGCAAAAGAGCAAAATGAAAGCTAGTGAGAATTTACTGTGATATCTAATTTAACTCAACTGCACTCCTAATTGAGGGAAAACTGCAGAAGTCAAAGGGAGTTTTTCCTCAATAAGCACCCACAGGATTACAGTTTTAAAATAAAAATAAATCATTTTCCTAAGAGCACCTGGTTAAAAAGTCTAAGAAGATGCATACACACAATGATAATACAAATATATATAACAACACAAAACATTCAGGCCATCATGTATTTAAAAAAAAAATCACATCGCCTGATTGCAAATGTCTGATCATATGAGAACAACAAATAGTTTATAGCGCCCTGCCAGCCCATGCAATGGAAAAGCACTACTGTTGCTCACTCTTAGGAGTGTTTCCCACATCAATTGCTATTGGAAAACAGTGGATTCCAGGATACAGGAGCTATTGATACATGAATTAACACAATATTGCTGTAGCACTGAAAATAAAGACATTGGACACAAAGGCTGTCTTTGTCCGCTTTCCAGTAATGATTTATTTGACAACATACGATTTGCAGTGATATCAGGGGTTTATTTTTTATAACAGCAGGGGCAGTTTCTAGGGTTTTACACCCACGAAAGAAACAGAGGCGGTGGAAGTCTGAACTATATTTTCATCAGGGCTAGTTTTGGCACTTCTTCTCTTGTATAGACGAGATTGCTGAAAAAAGCAGAGTATTTAGTTATGTATGATAACCCTTGCTAGTATACATGCTAAGTGAGCAATATACAATCTATACACTACGGGAAATATTTCTTACTAAGAAAATAATAATCAGATATAGTAGAAATTTAAAAAAAAGACTTTTTGGAAGTTCTCCACTCTAACTTACGAGGAGTAAGAGAGTTAGATTTCCTTTTGAATATTTGTTACATCATCTTTTCTAGGACACATCATGATGTTTATTTCAATAGCTGTTCAGCTTAATTTTCTGTGCTATTTATACATATTATAAACCACATCTCCATGATGCGGCCAACAAGTTCAGTCCAAAGTTTAACACTTGCATCTTTATTACTATAAATCTCACAGCCACCATAATAGCCCTGGATCTGCTCCCCATTAACTTAAAGCAAAGTATTGCCATTAACTTGAATGTCATTAGAACTGATCCCAAAAGCTTGCTTATAAATGCATCATGTGCCAATTCTTGCAAGCCCTCACATGCAGAATTCCCACTGATTACAACAGGAGTTTTGGGTGCTGAGTGCAAACTGCGCTCAGATTACCTCATTCAGAGTGAAAACTTAGAGAGTGTAACAAACTGAAAAGGATTAAACTCCTACAATTTCAGAAATTGTCTCCTCTAGGAAAAGGGGGATTTAGGAGTGTGGCAGTTTTGTCCAACCCGTGCCCCGACCCTAAGTCCGGAAGGGCCCCGCGTCCTCTGCCTTTCTCAATGTCCTGCCAAAATAATCCCGAGAGTCAGTGTGTTCGTCGTACTGTGTAGGCCTTTATGGTCTACTCAGTACCATAAGGCGGTTTGGGACCTGGCCCCTGGTCCCCCTTAAAAGGGGGAAGAGAGGGAGCTGGGCCCTCCCTCTCTACCGGGTCCCAGCCCAAGGCCCTAAAGAGTGAGGGTTTGTTTGCCCTCACTCGGCTGATGGGGTGTCTCCCTGAAACTCGTCAGAACCCAAGGCGCCAATATTGCGCTGCCCTGGGCTGCTTCCTGCTCCCACCTTTGTGCTGAGTGTTCCACATCACACTCGGGGGTCTACTGCACCTGTCTGGTGTCCAGCCTCTTCCTCTGAGGGTCCATCTCTGGGTGGCCGCTGCCGGTCTCCTCCGTCTGTGGGGGAGGGGGGGGCTGTGCCTCGCTTCCCCCGGCATCTCTCCTCCCTGCCGCTGTTCCCCCCTCAGTGGTGGTTGGGGTCCTTTTGAAAGCGGCAGCTGTTGGCTACCACGTCATGGCGTCTCACCTCAATGATGTCACGGTGTCCCGCCCAGATGACGTCACAGCGTCCGCCTCCATTCCGCTCGGGCTCCACCCCCTCGCACTGGAGCTGCATGCAGGCGGCCCAGCTTTGGCTGCCTCTGCACCTTCCACCTCCCCATGCTGTTCTGCCCCTCTGCCGGACAAGGAGCCGGAAATAGCCCAACCTCAGTGCAGGCTTCCGCGAGCCCATCACACACCTCCCTCCTTAGGGGTTCAGGGCCCTCTTGTTTCTCTCGTTTGTCTACTCTCGAAAAAAAGTCCGTGTTTTGGTGTCTATTCCCATGGCAGTGGATTATTTCAAAGCAATATGGCCTCAATGCCAGGTACCACTGCATAATACGTGGATTTATCTCTGACATAGACTGTAATCTCACCAAAGGGGCATGATCAGTTATCAAGCGGAATTTATTGCCCCACAAATAATATCGCAACGATTCAACTGCCCACTTTACCACTAGTGCCTCTTTCTCAATAGTAGCATAGTTCTGCTCCCGGGGCTGGAGCTTGCAGCTGGCGTACAATATGGGGTGCTCGTCCCCTTGTTGTTCTTGGGCCAAGACTGCACCTAGTCCAACTTCGGAGGCATATGTATATAAAGAAAAAGGGTTTTCAAAATCTGGTTGGATTAGTACGGGAGCCCTGGTCAGCCTTTCCTTCAAGGCCTTGAAGGCTTGCTCAGACTGGGGAGTCCATTGCACCTTTGAAGGTTTTGTGTTTCTTGTTAATTCTATCAAGGGTGTAGCTATGGTTGCAAACATGGGGACGAATCTCCTATAATACCCGGCTAGCCCCAAGAATTGCCTTACTTGTCGCTTTGTTGTTGGGCCCGGTAGTCTTATAGGCCTGAACTTTGCCCACAAGAGGCTTGAATCTTCCTCCTCCTACTGTGTATCCCAGGTAAGAAACTTCTTTCTTGGCGATGTGACACTTTTTTGGATTCGCGGTCAGTCCCACCTTCCTGAGGGCGGCTAGTATGGCTTCCGGATGCTGGAGGTAGTCGTTTCAAGTAGTACTGTATACAATGATATCGTCTATATAGGCAGCTGCGTACCCTCCATAAGGTGCTAATAGTTCATCAATCACGTGCTGGAATGTGGCAGCCGCCCCATGGAGGCCGAATGGCATCATTATAAACTGGAAGAGCCGAAATGGGGTGGAAAAAGCAGTTTTCTCTTTGGCTTTTGGCTCCAGGGGAATCTGCCAATACCCCTTCGCTAGACTGAGTGTCGATATGTACCGAGCGTGTCCTAACCGTTCTAGTAGTTCATCCACTCGGGGCATTGGATAGGCATCGAAGCAGGAAATAGCGTTAACGCATTGGAAGTCAATACAAAATCAGACCGTACCATCTGGTTTTGGGACAAGTACAGTGGGGCTCCACCACTCACTGCGAGACTCCTCAATGAAACCCCACTGTCTCATGAGTTGGACCTCTTCCCAAACTGTACTCCAGACCTTGCGGGGTAGGGGCCGGAGGGGCTCTCACACTTTCTTCCCCACTTCTGTAATTATCCGGTGACATCCCAGAGTCGTACGGCCCAGCCTCGCCATGAGGACTCATTCATATTGCTGTAGGAGGTCTTTGAGTTGCAGCCATTGGGCCGCCGTCAGGTCTTCCCCCAAGGTGGCCTCATCTTTTTCCAGGCAGTCCCTACCCCAAGAACCCAGTTTGTCCTCCGAGCGGGGGTGGAAAGGAGATGGGAAGGGGAGGCTATCATTAGGCTCTCTCGGGTTACCCATTTCTTCAATAAATTAACATGGAAGATCTGGGTGTCCTTCCTCCACCCCGACAGATGTACTTCGTAATCCACTTTCCAAATTACTTCATAAGTCCCCTGCCATTGTGCTAAGTGCTTGGATTCTTGGGAAGGCAGTAGGAGCAGTACGCAGTCGCCGGGCTGGAACTGGAGAGCCCTTGCCATCCTATTATAATAATGGGCCTGCTTTTCTTGGCTTCTTAGAAAATTCATTGTGGTGTACCCTCCTAGCCATCGTAGCTTCTCCTGTAGGTGGAGGATATGCTGTACGATTCCCTGGCAGGGTGTGGGTTGTTCTTCCCAGTCCTCCTTCAGAAGATCTAATATTCCCTGGGGCTGATGATCGTAAAGCAGTTCAAATGGAGAGAGGCCAGTGGAGGCCTGGGGCACCTCCCTAATGGCGAACAGCAGGACCGGGAGTATCTGGTGCCACCCACAGGTTTCTTCCTGCAAAAACCTACGCAACATCTCTTTTAGGGTCTTATTAAACCTTTCTACAAGGCCATCTGTCTGTGGGTGGTAAACCAAGGTACGGCAGGCCTTGATCTTTAACAAGTGGCACAGTTCTTTTATCACTCGAGAGGTAATATTAGTCCCTTGGTCTCTTAGAATCTCCTTCGGGAGTCCCACCCGCAAGAAAATCTTCATTAATTCCACCGTTAGGGTGGGGGCCTTAGTATTTCAGAGGGGCATGGCCTCCAGATATCGGGTTGCATAATCAAGAACCACCATTATGTACTGATGCCCCATCCGGGACAGCTTGAGGGGTCTCACCAAGTCTAGGGCTGTGCATTCAAATGGGATCCCCACCACTAGTAGTGGTATTAACCAGGCTTTGGGCACGCCTGCCAAGGCTGTTTTTTGGCATTCAGGGCATGACTCACAAAAGTCTCAGACGGCCCGGTACACCTCTGGCCAGTAAAACCTCTGTATTACCCTTGCTAAGGTTTTTCTCGTCCCAAGTGTCCCAACCAGGGGTTAGCATGGGCTAAGTCTAAAACGTCCCGGCAGTTGCGGGCGGGCACTACCAATTGTTGTACCTCCCTGTCCCCCTCTGGCCTCCCGGTCACTCAATAGAGCCAGTCATTGTGTACCTGGAAATAGGGGTCTTGCGACTGCCGCCTGGGGGACTCCTCCTATCTGTCTTCTGCTGTGGCTTGATCCCATGCATTCTTTAGGGAAGGGTCCTCCCTTTGTTCTTGCACGAAGTCTGGATTTTCCCTGGCATTCAGGGTTATTTTTTCATCCTGGCTGTCCCCCTCTGTCGGCGGGGTTGTTCCGTCCTGGTTCTCTTCCTCTATCGGGGCTAAGAACCCCTCTTCCTCGGGGGTTCATCAGGTCTTTTCCTGTGCCTTCGGCTGGTTCCTGGCCTGCAACAATTGACTAAACCCCAGCCAGTCCCTTCCCAATAACACTGGGTAGGATAGGGTGGGGGCCTTCCCGACCCTCCAGATGTTATTCCGTCATCAGTCCGTGATGCAGACCCATGCTATCGGATAGGCTTTGACATCCCTGTGTATGCACCTCATCCACACGGGTTCTTCTTCCTCCTGTCCTCTGGGTACCAGGTCTGCGCGGGCCAATGTCACAGCCGACCCTGAGTCGACAAGGGCCATCGCCGGCTTTCCCTTTATTCTTATGGTTGCCATGACCTTCGTTCCTTTTCCTCCCATGGTCACTGGGGGCCTCTTTTCCACTCACTGGCCTAAAGTGCAGTCCATAGGGGGCATTATCTCTTATAATGTCCCTCCTGTCCACATTGGAAGCAGGTTCTGCAGGGGGTAGTCCCTTTCTCGACCTACCCCTGTGTGCCCATTACCTCTTAGGCCGCAAGAGGGATGGCCGATCAGGCCACACTGGTGCAAATTTACGTGTCCCGGCTCATCATCTTTTCCACTCACTGGCCTAAAGTGCAGTCCATAGGGGGCATTATCTCTTATAATGTCCCTCCTGTCCACATTGGAAGCAGGTTCTGCAGGGGGTAGTCCCTTTCTCGACCTACCCCTGTGTGCCCATTACCTCTTAGGCCGCAAGAGGGATGGCCGATCAGGCCACACTGGTGCAAATTTACGTGTCCCGGCTCATCATCCAGTGGCCCTCTCCTTTCCGGCGATTCCCCCAGTGAGGCAAGGCCTCCCTACCTTGGGTGCTAGCACAGAATCCTTTCGGCCGCCCGCTTCATCCCCCTCTGCCGCCATGTATGCTTCCATAAGGGTGACGGCCTCATTCAGCATTGTGGGCTGGTGTTTCCGCACCCACTTCTGGCCCTCTTGAGGGATGATGTGGATGAATTGTTACAATACCAGGGACTCGGTCACCTGGACACTCATTTTCTGCTCCGGTTTGATCCATTGCCAGGCCAATTCCTGGAGCCTTTGAGCAACCGCTTGGGGTCTCTCTCCCGTCTTAAAGCGTTCTTGCCAGAACTGCTGGTGGCACGTCTCAGGTGTTATGCCTAATTGATCTAAAATTGCTTCTTTCACCTTAAAATAGTGGTGGGCATCCTTCGCTGCTAAACTCCAGTATGCCAATTTATCCAGTCCTGACAGGTAGGGCGCAATGTGGCCCACTGGTCCTGGAGCCAACGAGCGGCTGTCGCCACTCTCTCAAAAGTTGTCAAGAAGGCTCCAGGGTAATCCCCTGGGCTCATCTTAGAGAGCCGCAGGGGGCCTTCTCCATCACCGCCGACCCCCATACCTGATACTCCGGCTCCTCTCCCTGCGGCTTGCATCCAACGGTCCTGTTGGGTGTTCAGTTCTGGAATGAGTTGTCGCTCCTGTTCCTGGAATTGGGTGGCCAGTTGCTGAATTAGCTGTGTCTCCTGCTGCTGCTGTTGCCACCACTGGTTTTCGCTCAGCCACTCCAGGAATTTAGTGGGTTCCAGCTGTCCTGATTACTCTCCCTTCTTCTTCCTAGCAAATACACCACTGTTCTTGGAACACTAATTCCCTTGGGGTTTTGGTCCCTCACCCGCGGGCCCAATACCCACATTCTCCACCATGTGTGGCAGTTTTGTCCGACCCATGCCCCTACCCTAAGTCCGGAAGGGCACTGCATCCTCTGCCTTTCTCAATGTCCTGCCAAAATAATCCCATGAGTCAGTGTGTTTGTCGTGTCATGAAGGACTTTATGGTCTTCTCCATACAACAAGGCGGTTTGGGGGGCGGAGGGGGACCCGGGCCCTCCCTCTCCACCAAGTCCCAGCCTAGGGCCCTAAAGAGTGAGGATTCATTTGCCCTCACTCGGCTGACGGGGCATCTCCCCGAAACTCATCAGCTCACGGGTGCCAATATTGCCCTGCCCTGGGCTGCTTCCTGCTCCCCCCTTTGTCCTGAGTGCTCCGCATCATGCCCGGGGAGCCTACCGCATCTGTCTGGTGTCCAGCCTCTTCCTCCGAGGGTCCGTCTCTGGGTGGTTGCTGCCAGTCTCCTCCATCTGTGAGAGGGGGGCTGTGCCTCGCTTCCCCTGGCGTCTCTCCACCCTGCCACCATTCCCTCCCTCAGCAGCGGTCGGGGTCCTTTTGAAAGTGGTGGCTGCCGGCCAACACGTCATGGCATCCCGCTCCAATGACATCACGGTGTCTCACCTTGATGAGGTCACAGCGTCTGCCTCCGTTTCGCTCTCTTGTTTGGGCCCCACCCCCTCGCGCCAGAGCTGCACGCGGGCAGCCCGGCTTCAGCTGATGCCACGCCTTCTGCCTCCTCACACCATTCTTGCCCCCCGCTGGACAAGGGGCCGGGAACGGCCCAACCTCAGTGCGGGCTTCCGCAAGCCCATCACAAGGAGTCACAATAGCATGTCCTGCCAATCTTTCAGCTTAGGCAGACATGCCAGGGCTACCTCTGATTGTACTAGCGTGATAAAAATAGAAGTGTAGCTACAGCAGTAGGCAAGGCTAACCAACCAAGCAGAATCCCATCTAAAATCCCGCATAGATACTCAGGGTATCTAACTCCTCCTTCCATTCTCCCTGCTGTGCCTATATTTCCATTTTTAGTATGTTAACTGAATCAGAGTCCTGAAAGTGGAGGTAGGAGAAGTTGTTCGAGGTTTAACCATCTCTGAGAAAAAGCAGTTTTTATATAAGTTGCTCAGCAATGGTAATATTTAGCTCTCTCTAAATATAAATATAGAGTGATGCCATGAGTTTTTCTGGTTTGAGTAGCATCTCAAACAGTAAATGAAAACTTGCCCTTCTTGAACAATTTGGGCTCCAAAGCAAATCTGAACACATAAGGATGGTTTTGTATGTACATTAAAACCTGTGTTAACCAGCACGCTTGGGGATTAGGGTGTTCCAGTGATCTAAAAATTCCAGTTATCTGAGGGTCCCAGCTGCCCGGCCCAGCTCCTGGCCGGTCGGATCATAGCAGCGTGCCACAGAGCCATGCCAAGCCCTGAGCCAAGCTCGTAGGAAATTTGCCGGTTTCTAAAGTTTTCTGGATAGTTAAGTGCCGGGTAGAGCAGGTTTTACTGTATTTGAATACAAACCACTTGAGAGAACAGATTTCAGGGTTCTAGTCTGCGTTTATCTCTGAACAGAAGGAGAAATAACTGTTGTCTCATAGGCATACCCAGCAGCCCCAGCTTTTATGGGCATGATTTCCAGTATGTATGGTTAATTACTTGTCTTTTATTGCTTAAAGCTTCTCCCTCTCTTCTAGTCCCACTCATTAATCATATGCTTTGTTAGGTAATCTGTTTGTATGGGCTGGTGTGTGTGAGTGTGCGATAAAGTGTAGCCTGATAAGACACTATGGAACCCAACTGGACATGATGGGATGTTATCTACTATGTATTTGAGAAGGTCTGTATGTCTGTCTGGGTGTCTGTCTGTCTGTGAGTCTGTTTATTCAAGAACTCTTCCTATATGGTAAGACCTATGACACCAAACGTGGTATGCAGCTTCCTCTTATTATAGGTTAAAGCAAGGTCAGGGTTTGGTTGTGCCAAGGCAATGGGATATTCATGGAACGTGATTGTTTCTCATCAAATGGAAAAGGAGGGCTATGGTAGCAGGGACAATTATACTCCAAAATTACCATGGGCATGGGGGGGGGGGGGGGGCATTACCTGGGATGCGAGGCTTTCACCACCCCAGCCTGGCCTTGGGGAGCAGAGCTGGCTGGTCATAGTGGTCCCCGCTGCCTTGGGCCAGCTCTGAGGTGCAGCCAGCGGATAGGCTGCACAGCCCCCACCTCCCCAAGCTGGCCTCAGGGAGTAGCCAATGGTTGCCCTAACCCTCTTCTCTGAGCCTTCCTGCCCCTGAATCCCTCTTCCCTCAGCCTCCCCACCCCCGCTCTTGAGCCTCCCACCTCCTGCCCTGAGCCCCTCCTTGCCCCAACTCTGATTTCTGCACCTCCACATCCCTAAGCTCCTCCCTTACTCCTGCCCCCTGCCCTGAATGATCCAAGCAACACTTCGTAAATCTTCTAATGTTAAATATTTCTCAGATATATTGGTCTAACAAACAGGCCCATATCTGAATACCTTTACATTTTGGACAAGCTTGTATTGGTCATGATCAAATCTACTTCTAATTTCAGGTAGCAAAACAATTCTTCCTGTGAATTTACATCAATTGAATGAAAAGAGGAAAGAAATGTATAGAAAGGTGAAAATAGGCAAACATTCTGGGACTAAAGTGAAGAAATTGCTAATCCACTTACCTCACCAAGTGCTTGACTCTTATTCCTTTTGAAGATAGTGTCAGCTGTGTCTTGTTTCTTTTTTTTCAGACTTGTTAGACTGAGAACCTTTGAAAAGTTAGAGCAGTGAAGTTATAGAACAGCCTCCTATGAGCACACTATTTTCTCTTGATAACTAACAGCCTGTTTAACAATGCGCTTGAGATTCTTAGCTCATTGAACCCATAACATCTGATTCTGATCTCACACTTCCATGAAAATCCAATGGATCTCCCTTGACTTGAGCTCAATTGCTCTCAATCCACAGAAAGAGGAGATCAGAATCAGTCCCCACGCCATTGTATTTCATTTTATTTTTCTGAGAGAAAGCCAGGTGAAAATTTCTAAAACACATTAGCTGGAAACAGAAGAAAGTCACATGTGCCAGATCAGCTGAATGTTCTTTACCAGCTATCAAAGCACTCTCCCATCATTTGAGGTTGGAGGTACAGTTGTGTTACTGAGAGCAGAATTTGGGGCTATATCTCTAATGCAGTTGTTTATATAAATATTAAACTAATTGAACTAAGATGAAAAGTCCCATGCAGTTTTAGCATTTGTATGCTCAGTGGGACATGATATTATCAGACATTGCCCAAAGCCTTGTGCCATAGGTGCAACGGTCATCGGGCTGGTTGAAAGAAAAGAGAGTGAGCATAAATTTAAGGTCAGGAGCTTTGATAGAAAAAGTACAAGGCTGAAAAACTCACCTTGCAGAATGCTCTTTTGGCCAATCTTCAGAGGAGGTGCCCTGTTATCAGGCTAACTACCGTTGAATGGAGATGGATAGGGAGTAATTCAAGCCAAGTCAAAAGAAATTAAATTGAGAAGCAGAACGTTTATAATAGCAAGTCACAGAGCATGTGATTTTATTTTTTTTCTAATTTTAACAGCTTTTGTTATATCAAAGACAATGCTTGATGTAGAAAAATAAATTATCTTGAACTTACCCTATATATAGGTATAGATCCAAACACAACACCAGTCTCTTTGTTTCCTGACTTGAAACTTTCCAAAGGTTCTCTATTAACCTAAAAAATAGGGAACAGAGTAACATATTTTCAGTTACAGACCAACAGCAAGATGGTAGAAATGACATCTAGTGGTGGTTCCATAAATCTGCATAGGTAATATTCATTCCATATTACTAAAGGAAAAAAAACTCCACATCTACTTTAAAAAAAATACCACCAAATAGTTTGGTTTGTATCCAGTTTTGTTTTTTGCCATATATAAAAATTACCCAGGAGATTTTGTTCAAAAATAGTGGGATGCGGTTCTGCTTGTTTCATAGAAAATGGAGACTGATGAGAGGACTTTTACTCAGAGGGTGTGTCTAGACTACAGGGTTTTGTCAACAAAAGTGGACTTTTGTCAACAAAACGATACCTGTGTCTACACTGCCGCTGAGTTCTGTCGACATAACGTTGACAGTACTCAGCAGTTTTGTCAATGGCTGTAAACCTCAGAGTTCTGTCGACAGAAGGAGTTTTTGCATCTACACTGTCCTTTGCGTCCACACTGTCAGGTTGACAAAGTGGCTTGCTTTGTCGACAGAACCGGATGTAGTCTAGATGCTCTTTGTCGACAGAAGCTTTGTCGACAGTATCTGTTGACAAAACTTCGGGCGACAAAAGCCTGTAGTCTAGACATACAGACTGATTACAACAACTTTTAAAACATGTTTAACTTCAATACCACACCAACACTGGAAATCTGGGGAAAACAGACATGCCAGATTGCATATTGCAAATGTTTAAAACCACTCAGGGCATTCTTTATACAAATGTAAATATGCTAACAAGGGCCAAATGTTTTAAGTCAGTTGTAAGGATGTGAGTTAGTTGGTGGGTGCTGCTAAAGAAGGGTTGAATTCTAACCATGGGATAATGGGCTGACAATTCTCAAGGGAACTCAGTCCCAGGTGACAGCTTCATTGCAGGCAGGAGATCTCTCTCTTTGAGCATGCAACCCTTTAGTCTTAAGCTGCCTATCAGGAAAAATAATAGGTGGAACAAAATAGTATTTCTGCTGATGGACGGGCCATATTTGTGCAAATGTTGGTTTGACAGCTAAAAGCTACCTAGGTTATTAGATCCCGTGTATTCGATAGTAGAGGTCAGTAGCCTTATATGATAAGGTACTCATTTCCCACTAGGAACAGAATTTATAATCATGCAACAGGAAAAACTATATCTAAAATGACGTATCGCAAGGTTTTCATAAAATGCTGAAAAAGGGGTTTGTGCAAAAATCAAATTGCATTTTAAAGAAACCCCCTAATTTAATTTTATATTAAATCTGTTTTATAGCATCCTCTGGTAGATAATTTAAGTGCATATGCAATTGTTATAGGTTAAGATGATTCACATCTTCAACATTTAAAAATTCCCTCATTAATTTTTCCTCATATATCCCAGGTTTGAATTCAAGGATTCTTAGCTTCATCACCCATAGCATCACAGAATTAATGTTAATTCACTCAGGTGCTCACATGTGATTTTGAAAGTGCCTGTGCAGACCTCTAGGTCCTTACACATCTTCAAGTATATGTAAATATGCTGAGCCAGATTGCATGGTCCCCTATCAAATAAGTAAGGTTGTATCAACACTTATCAACAAGACTTTCAGGGGTACCTATTAATTATCAACGTAAATGAAGACAAGAGCAGTCTCCTCATACATGAGCATGTGGCGCCACAGCCCAATTCTCTTTTCAACTTTACCTTCTTAAGTAGTACAGGTTAGACTCTCGAATGCATTGGAAGTGTGAGACCCTATAAACTGAAACCCTACAGAAGATTTGCACAAATGCCTTTCATTATCTCTAGCCTTTGCTACAGAAAAAGCCCCAAAGATTTGTTCTGGACTAGTTTCCAAATGTTAACATCTACCAGAATATTGCATTAAACAGATGCAAATGAATCATGTCTCTTCATCTACCTTAGGAGAAGCTAGGGCTTTAAAAAACTTGAAATCTTGATCCACTTCGAAGGGTCTAGGCTTTTTTGAAAGTAAGGATGATCTGGTTAATGATTTCCATCTGTTCACAAGTGACAGGCAGGAGGGGGAGGAATCATGTTAATGAACAGAAAGCAACATACAATATCACACACTCAATTAGTTTAGAAACACAAATACTATGAACTGTAATTCCTTCTGTATCTTTGCAGAATAAAATTTAATGTAGGGTCTTAAGTATCAGGAGATATTACTTAATTAACACTTCTCCAATACAGGTGGGATTAATTTTCTTTCACTATGGCTGTGTCTAGAGTGGCATGATTTTCCGGAAATGCTTTTAACGGAAAAGTTTTCCGTTAAAAGCATTTTTGGAACAGAGCGTCTAGATTGGCATGGACGCTTTTCCAATCTAGACACGCTTTTCCGCAAAAAAGCCCCAATCGCCATTTTCACGATCGGGGCTTTTTTTCGGAAAACAAATCTGAGCTGTCTACACTGGCCCATTTGTAGAAAAGCTTTACGCAAAAGGGACTTTTGCCTGAACGGGAGCAGAATAGTATTTCCGCAAGAAGCACTGATTTCTTACTGATTTCTTGGTTCAAGCAGCCAGTGTAGACAGCTGGCACGTTTTTCCGGAAAAGCGGCTGATTTTCTGGAAAAACTGGCCAGTCTAGACACAGCCTATGTGTTTGCCATTTTCAGGCTGGTAGGTATGTTTATGGACAGACCACTGCTTATCAAGACTACGCTCCAATTCATTGTATTATAGTGACTCAATCTTACTGTCCATCTAAAACACTATGGGGAGTGTGACCTAGTGGTCATGGCTGCAACTCCTGATGGCCAAGGAAGTTGACAGGAGGGGAGGGGAGTCTTTACACTTCCCACCCCACTGGGCTTTGGCCTAGTGCCCTTTGGGCTACCAGTAGTCTAGCAACCAAAGATGCTTAAGCCTATATCTACAAAACCACAGAAAGTCAACCTAAGACATGCAACTCCAGCTATGCGAATACCGTAGCTGGTCTTGACATACCTTAGGTGGAGTTACTGTCGAGTCTTCACTGTGGGGAGCATAATGGGTGAAACTCCCATTTACTTACCTTATTCTTCTCATCGGGGTAGACTATGGGGGTTGATTGCACAGTGATCTGCAGTCGATATGGTAGATCTTCCTTAGAACCAGTAAATCAACTACAAGTGGATCAAACTCAAAGCACTGATCCACATTATAGTGTAAGGCTGTAACTTGCTAACACCAGCTTCCTCCCTGGGCCTCTTTCTCTCATCTACCCCTGGGGGCAATGTTCGCTGTAAGATGAGTGCTTGGGTAAGGGATGTAGATATGCCCACACAAATGACCTATTTTCCTTCCTTTTAATTCTTCCAGCAGAGAGAGCACTTGCTGCAGGTGTAGCATGCTGGGACTAGCTGAGCCATAAAAAATCCTGTAACACCTTGTTGCCTAGTGTGGGGTTTGTACACTCTGTAACAAGGCAATGCAGACCTTTACTATTGATTCAACTGGTTGCCAGACTAGTGGGCCTCAGCCCAAATTATAAGGAGAAAACATGCATGTCTTGATCTCCAATTAGTGTGTGTCCACTTAACCCTTTTTATAATTAATGCAGTGATGTTGATTTATACTAGCTAAGGATCTGCATCCTGTTGTTCCACTGCTGAGAAGAGTTGAAACAAATTTACCCAATGCTACCCACTGAAATTCTTCAGTAAGTCAATGGCACCCTAGCTACTTTCACAGCTGGGAATATAGGCCAATGTTTGCAAATATGTATTTGAATTCTGAACCCCTGCTTGGTTCAGTCAACTGATAGCTTTCTTTGATAGGATAACAAGTCTTGTGGTTAAGAGAGAAGCGGTGGATGTGGTAGACCTAGACTTTAGTAAGACATTTGATACGGTCTCGAATGATCTTCTTATCAATAAACTAGGTAAATACAACCTAGATGGGGCTACTATAAGGTGGGTGTATAACTGACTGGATTATCATTCTCAGAGAGTAATTATTAACACTTCACAATCCTGCTGGAAGGGCATAACAAGTGGGGTTCCGCAGAGGTCTGTTTTGGGACCAGTTGTGTTCAATATCTTTATCAACGATTTAGATGATGGCATAGAGAGTACGCTAATTATGTTTGCAGATGCTACCAAGCTGGGAGGGGTTGCAACTGCTTTGGAGGATGAGGTCATAATTCAAAATGATCAGGACAAACTGGAGAAATGGTCTGAGGTAAATAGGATAAAGTTTAATAAGAATAAATGCAAAGTATTCCCCTTAGGAAAGAACAATCTGTTTCACACATATAGAATGGGAAGCGACTGTCTAGGAAGGAGTACTGCAGAAAGGGATGTAGGGGTCATAGTGGACGACAAGCTAAATATGAGTCAACAGTGTGACACTGTTGCAAAAAAAAAGCAAACTGATTCTGGGATGCATCAACAGGAGTGTTATGAGCAAGACACAAGAAGTCATTCTTCTGCTCTATTCTGCGCTGATTAGGCCTCAGTTGGAGTACTGTGTCTAGTTCTGGGCACCACATTTCAAGAAAGATGTGGAAAAATTGGAGAAGGTCCAGAGAAGAGCAACAAGAATGATTAAAGATCTATAGAACTTGACCTATGAAGGAAGACTGAGAGAATTGGACTTGTTTAGTTTGGAAAGGAGAAGACTGAGAGGGGACATGATAGCGGGTTTCACGTATCTAAAAGGGTGTCACAAGAAGGGAGAAAAATTGTTCTCCTTGGCCTCTGAGCATAAGGCAAGAAGCAATGGGCTTAAACTGCAGCAAGGAGGTTTAGGTTGGACAGTAGGAAACACTTCCTAACTGTCAGGGTGGTTAAACACTGGAATAAGTTGCCTAGGGAGATTGTGGAATCTCCAACTCTGGAGATATTTAACAGCAGGTTAGACAGACATCTATCAGGGATTGTCTAGACAGTGCTTGGTCCTACTCTTGAGGTCCCTTCCAGTTCGAGTATTCTATGATTCTATGCTTGGACCCTTTTTTATGTGTACGAACATTTGAGAAGTGCTTATTGCTTGTATGGATACCTTTATATGAATTCATTATTTGAAACAATAGCATAATGAATGAAGAAGAGTAATTATCCAATAAGGAAACAGACTTAATATGTGGATTAAGTGACCAAGCAGACAGAAGAGCAACGAGTTGAAATGAACAGTGCACTAACCTCCACTTGCCGAAAACAGGCATAAACTATTTCAGCTATTACAAATAGGGGGGAAATAAGCCAAAAATCTAGCCTTTGGGAGAAATATTTGCAAACAAAAATAGGTTTGTCATGTAATAATTTACTTGTAATAGATTAGGGAAACTCCATCATTGGAGATATTTAATAGCAGGTTAGATAGACATCTATCAGGGATAATCTAGATCAGTGTTTCTGAAAGTGTTCCACGGAATCACTCTCAGAAACACATTAACTGGCCACCCCGGTTTGTTTATTTACCAGCACTGCGGCCAAGGAGTCTCGCAGCTCCCATTGGCTCTGTTTCATCCTTTGCAGCCAAGGGGAGCCGTGAGAAGCAGCGTGGTCTGGGACACCATTTTCCCCTTGGCTACAAAGGATGAAATGGAGCCAGTGGGAGCCCCGAGGCTCTGTGGCCGCAGCGCTGGTAAGTTCCACGGAACACTTTCAGAAACACTGATCTAGATGATGCTTGGTCCTGCCATGAGGGCAGAGGACTGGATTTCATGACCTCTTGAGTCAACTCTACACCCTAACTTGAAATAAGATATGCAATTTGAGCTACACAAATTGCTTATATTTCAGCGCTACTTGGAAATAGCTTATTTAATCATTTGGCACTGTCTACACAGTGCCAAATTTTGAAATAAAGCACTATTCTGAAACATCCCTTACTACTCGTAGAATAAGGTTTATAGAGATGTCAGAATAGCGAGCCTGAAATAACGGGCTTGCTGTAAAGACAGCTATTTCGGGATGCTCAGTATCCCAAAATAGCATTGCAGTGTAGACGTACCCTTCCAGTTCTATGATTCTAATTCACACCAATCTAGTTACTGCAATGTGCTCTCTCTACATAATGTTACATCAGCTGGCCATTGTAACCTCATCTAACACAGCATGTCTCCACTGCAAACAAAAACCTGCAGCACCAAGTCTTAGACCCTAGGTCAATTGATTGGATTTGAGGGGTTATAACTAGCAGTGAAGCTATTAGGGATTTGGGCTGGACCGCAGACTCTGAAACCCAGGAAAGGGAGGGTGCCAGGCTCTGTATTCAGTGAATGTCCCTGTATTCAACACAGCCTAAGGGCTCATCCTGTCAGCACATCCAGGCAAGTTCTTTATTCATAGGTTATTGAACTGACTTCAGTAGGACCACTCACACTGGGAAGAGTTGAAACAAAAACAGGACTATGTAGCACTTTAAAGACTAACAAGATGGTGTGACGGACCCCCGCAGGTCCGCACTAGAACCGGAGCCGGCGGCGCCCCCTTCAGGTTGCCGGGCGGGCCGGCAGGCAGCCCCAG